ATAATAATAATAATAATAATAATAACAATAATAATAATAATAATAATAATAATAATAATAATAATAATAATAATAATAATAATAATAATAACAATAATAATAATAATAACAATAATAAATATATTATTACTTTTAGCAAATGTAGTTCGTCGTACTTTATTTTTATAGTCTGTTTATGAACACAGTAGATGTTACCAAGAATTGGATTTCAAACTGTAAATCGATAAGTAAGGGAGATCAGTTAAATTTCCAAACAGTAATGCTGGCGCTCACATACTCACTGTGATAGGTTATACAAAATAAGTCATATGTCGGGATACGCCTATGAAAAAATTATTATCAGCTAATAGCGAGTACCGGTACAAGGATAAAATTTGGCTATTATATGATTCCATGTGTTTTTTTTTTTAATTCATAGATGGGAAAATAAGCCAGTTGCAATTTCATGAACGGCTTATCATTTAAAAGCTTATAATGTCAAAAATATGAATATATTTAAAAAAGTCTTTTTTTTTTGTTTTGTTTTGTTCACTGATGCTTGTCTTGGCATGTCAAGCGACAATTTTACACTGAAACCAATCTACAAAATATTGAACACATGGTTGAATTTGTTAAGTAATTTACGTTAGAACAGTTAAATGGAAAGTAAGTTTAAGCTCAAGTTCAAATTTATTTAGCGTTTAATGTAAATCCATCAAGATACATTTTAATAAAATGAATAAGGGGAAACTGTAGGGAATGACAAATAAGAGCAAAACTCGATGAGATGGCCACCCTGAGTGAGGTGACCTATCTAAAAAAAATGCAAGTGCACTCACAATAAAGAAAATAAGTCACAAAATCATACAGACACGACTCGGACAGCATGTTGGCCATATAACAAACTATAAAGTGTATTACAGAAAGCAAATTATTTAGCAATTAAATATAACTGATTACTTACTTTACAAGGAAATAATATATTTTTTTTTATAACAATGTTTAAAAAAATGTACTGTTGTACTGCTAGTCAGGAAAGTAAAACACGTACCATGTCTGTGAGCGCCGCTGATGCAAATATGCATGTGTTCTCTTATTATAGGCCTACTTTCGATTCGACTCTATTCTCTATCTTAACTTTTTGTGTAAATTATAACCATACATTTCAATTATTGGCTTAAAAATACAGTAATATTCTTTCAACAAAAGGTATTTTTCCTTTTATTTACAAAAAGAAAATATAGGGGTTTCCAAAGTTATAGTTAAAGACGTATGGCAATCGTGATGTTCGACATATATCTTAGAACATAATCTTCATGCCATATTGGGCTTCTCAAACATTAGACTCACTATATAATAAAATTAAGATACGGCAGCCTCGCAAGTCCTTTATCTGAAAGACGGACTATTAGTCAATCCGTTAGCTAGTTATAAGTGTTTTAGTCGCTACTGTATTCCCATTATCTTTTCGGTTTTGAATCAACACTCGCGTAAAACATTATGACTGATTCGGAAGTTAGAAATAACTAAAAGAAATACAATATACTTTTACTCAGACAGAGATAATAAACGAATCTTTTTCGATTCCTGTTCCGACGTCATTCAGAATTTAGAAATAACTAAACAAAATACCAGAGTTATTAAAATATGAGTGACTTAAAATGACAAGAATTTGCCAGCATACTATTCCTTCCTTAAAAACTCTATTAATCATTTTACTCAGATACAGATAATAGAAAAAAAAAATCAGATCTCTGAGGCCAACCCAATAGCATTTACACATCCCTTATTTGAATATGGTTTTGCCTTTAATACCAAGCTTCCGGAGAACAGGCGGATGTTATACGAACTTAAGCATACACGGTGATACACTAACTTATCGGTATTATGCGTACACAGTTGTACAAATGACTTCTTAGCAACAGTATTTACAGACGAAGGAAGTGTAACAGCTCTGAATTCGTTCCAATACACGTTCGAAATTTGATGTCAAACGCGATGCTGTCTTGCACACGTTTGTTAAACTTACTTTTTGTGATCGCTTTTGGAAGTGGAAAGGTTCTATTACCACCAGGTTAGTTCAAACAACAAAATACACTTTTTATTTGAAATTATATTTATAAAGCCGTTTTTAGTAAATCATGTCATAGAAAAAGACATTTGGCGAACGTGTACGATCATTATGTACCTATTAATAGGTCCGTGGTCCGATAAGTCGTGAGTGATTGGAGTACATAATGACGACGTGAATGATTGGTCACGTGACCAATCATTGTAGTTGTTGGTATCTCATTAAACAATCGTATTTATATGTAAAATACTCTACCTGCTACATAATTATAGTACTTCTCGGTAGAAAAATCATTGATACAACATTGCTACATAACCTCAATGCTACACAGGAAATATACTCAACTTGTAGGCCTACTATTTAACTTGACCTAAATTTTTTTTTAGAAAAAAAAAATCATGTTTAACATGTACGGTATGTGTCAGTTCAACTGTTGAGTGTAGAATAGCCTATAAATCCCTGTCCAGCCTATCAAATTTTATTAATGACAAAAAATGTGACATGACTAAATATGGTCATGATGACATCACATCATGACCATATGTAGGCACATCATGGCTATATATGGGCACATCATGACTATATATGGGCACATCATGACTATGGGCACATCATGACTATATATGGGCACATCATGACTATATATGGGCACATCATGACTATATATGGGCATGTAACAGTTTCTTGTCAAAGAAAAGTTGATAGTGTGGACAGTACTTTAGAATTGAATGTTTAAAGATTAGGTATAGGTCCTTTTTCTCTTACTTACCTAGGTACGTTCTGTTATAGCAACATTTTAAATAATATTTGTCACTGCGTAACTGCATCTTATGCAAAGCTTGAATCAGAATCAGAATATTGTTTTAAACATTCACCAACTTTCTATCACATCATATTTGGTGGGATCGTTAATACAATAATACAAATAATTATTGAACTGTCAAATTAATTTGGACGTAAAACATAAAAAATACCTTTAAAATTGAATATCTCAATTTTCATGCTGAATACCCTGTGCTTAAGTAAGAGTTTTAATAATCACAAGTTTGCGAATATTATTTTTTATTACAATAACTCATTTACACGTCATAGAGCGACGGGATACATTATGTACCATTGGTATACACTGAAACTTAAGTGCCTTTCCTGAAAGTATTAGACGTATCAATGAAAAAGGGATTTTTTAGGTAAAGCAATCGGTGTCCCTCCAATTATCTTGACTTCCGTGTGAATCGTTTGGGTGTCTTGACTTTTCGAAGAGGATGTATAATGTCTGGAAAAATATATTTCCTTATAAAAATAAGGAATACAATAGTTGATCTTTGATAGAATAAACTTTGACAAACAGGGTTTACAATATAAATGGCGTATAAGTACGGATCCACCCACGATTGTATTAAACCTGATGAATTTATATTCAGATACACTAAAGGATCACACAGAACAGTATGACGTCACTTTGAAGATGACATTAAATTTAATGATATTACAGTGCATGACAGTGTCAGATTGAATAACTATTTTTGGTAAAAGTATATTTTATTTAAATTGTAGTTTGTTATTGGTTTTATTTGAGCAGCCAGGCTAGTAAGTTCATTTACATTATTAATCAATTAATATCATTGATGCTCTTAAACAAAAGTTGGTAAATATGTTTCAAATCAAGTCACTATGCTAAAATAATATGAAATATTCTCATAAAAAGCTTGACTTCAGATTGGCTCAAACATTTTAAAACCAATGGCGTTACCGTCGTTTATGGTGTTTTAAACCTCAAGTTAAACCTTTTTAATGTTTCGATGGTAACGTTATCGTTTGAACCGATAGGGACGTCTGATTCTGTTCCACGATGTCACGACCCTGGTCACGTGCGATGGGCAACAAGGCAGAGATATTACGGAGGACAGCTTATAGTGTATACATGTAATCAAGGCTTAACACTCGTAGGACAGACACATATTCGATGTGAGGGTGGCCGATGGTCAGACGTCAAGCCAGTTTGTGCTGGTAATGTTATAGGCCTCTAAAGAAACTTTGAAGAACACGTGACAGAATGAATTAATTTTAGTTTAACCAAAAAAAAAAGGCATTTTACATATACGAAAACTTATATTACAGTGAAAAGTTCTCTTTGAGCAGTACAGTATAAATGAATGACTTATAATTATATGTTAGGAACTAAACCATTTTATCTGGATATAGGAAACATATTCAATGTGTCCTGCATGTTCGTACAACTGATATGCACTACAAACTTATGGCCGGAATGAATGGTGTAATATGTTTTTCCAACTTTCTATGCTGAAGCATGTGAGGATTGCATGGTACCAAACAAATAAATATCCATTTTATTTGTATGACTGTGGCGTTTTCCCAGCTCCTGGTTGTGATCCGCCGGATAAACTAGAACTAGGGTCTTCAGAAACTGTGACTGGTGGCGCTGTAGTGAGGTTCTCTTGCAATAAAGGACTTGTTCTCCATGGATCTTCGACGATCTACTGTGACGGCACACAGTGGAATAGTACCGTTCCTTCCTGTTTAGCTGTCAAACCAGAATATAACCTTATATCAAACTGCCCATCTCTGCGAAATATCGCTTTTGCGAAACGTATGGACCTAAGTCGAGCGGTAGTTATAATCTGTAATCGGGGATATCAACTAATTGGTGCAGGCGTCTTAAGATGCAATCTGCAGAACCAGTGGATGTCGGAACCTCCATTGTGCGCAAGTAAGTAATATGCATGGCGCATGGTCAAATCTCCACACGATCACAATGCGATCAGAAACAGCATCGGTAACTGTTTCTGTCACATTGATTTATTCCTTTTGTGTCACATGTAAACTAGCCTATTACGAGGCTTTACTAGGTCCATGATGTCCATCATAGATTTTCTTTTTACGTTTTTGTTCTTATGAGTGTATTGAGCTTTGGATATTTTTATACTTGTTAGCAGCGTTTGAACATGATAAATACAACCAGATGAGCCAATCCCGAAAATCTATATAGGTTATTAGACAGTTTAAGAGTGAAACTATAATACTTTACAGAATTATTGTTCTTAATAATCATGGGAAACATTTAGGCTGAAACGAACAATGGACAGTTTGTACCGCATTACTTGATTCAGCATGGTAACGACCATTATATTTCAGATTCACAGGCATGTTTGGCATTGTCTCGCGTATTTAAAAAGATACCAACAGTTATAAGGGTATTCTTCCAACTACGTAATACATCTTATTTTGAACGACAAAAAAATATGTTCAGTCTTTTCTCTAAGATTCTCTTTGGGAACCCATGGTGATCTTTGGCTGTTCAATAAACATGTGAGAACGTAAGGTTATATAATCAAAGTGTTTAGGTGAAAGTGCCATACATATGTAAGAAGTAAATATTATAACTGTTTATGTGTAAACACTTTAAGAGTTATATGCGTTCACTGAAAACGGCGAAATGTGTAGCATCTCAGCAGACACAACAAGCATTCAGCCTACTTTACACTTGGACGTTTTGACGTAAAAGTATTTAATTTAATTTATTATCAAAGTTAACTAGGACCTCAGACCTATATTTATAAAACCAGAATTTATAATTTTGTTTAATTTATTGTTTTAGCTGATGGATGCCCGGATGTCCCCGACCCTGAAAATGGTATTGCAACCATGAGTGAAACAGGGTCTCTTATTAGATTCCAATGTTTGAACGGTTACAGTCTACGGGGTGCTGACATGATCTCCTGTACGGAAGACGGATGGAGCGATAATGTTCCGAGATGCATTCCAGAGGCTTCAACACTACCACAGGGCGATAGAACATGCTTGTCTAACCCTCCAAACATACCTAATACGATATATGGCATTTATCGTCGAACATACGACAATGGGAATGAATATTCTGTTGCCGTCTACACATGCTATCAGGGATTTAAACTTATCTCTGGTGGAGCTACAAAGATATGCTCTAAAGGACAATGGTTGTGGCCTCCCGAGGGTGAAATAAAATGTGTCCGTAAGTGTGTATTCAAGTTTAGCTTTTTTATTTGATCTTTCTAACTGTCTTTTAAGTCATCAAAGCATGAGCAAAAATTACATTTATAAATATTAATTATTTGTATAAGCATTAGGAAACAATTTTGCTTGTAAATGTTTTGCAAAGTGACATTATATGAATTTTGTATTTTGTATAATGTGAATTTGTAGTACAGTATATCCAAATTTACTATACCAAAGCCAAACCTAAATGTTAACATCTATATGCCCTAATGGGAGAGAATACTCTGCTGCAGATGCTACCATTAAGGTCCGCTACATTTACAATCTGTCATGTGCCTACTTGTCAACTGAAGACATATGAAGAGAGTTCTTCCTTTTCAGTTGTTGGTCCAAGCTCCGGAAATTACTACCATAATCTGTTATCTGAATCTCCTAATTTGATGATCTTTAAACGTGGTCTTAAATCATTCTTATTTGACAATCACTAATTTACCTCTACTCTCCTATTTTGTTTACTTTTCACTTTCTATTTGTGTTGTGTTTCTTTTCTACCACTTTCTTTCCGTTTCAACCATTATTCTGGTGTTTTTTTTTTAATTTTCTGTTGTTCCACAAAGCGTATAGAGACGATTGTTACGCTATAAGTGCACAATCATTGACTATTATTATATCTTTTGTATTAAAAGCTACCTGTAATGCACCATCATTTTACTGTCAACATTTGTGTATTGATCGACCGACTGGAGCCGTATGTTCCTGCCATGAAGGGTATTATCTCCTCGAAAACGGATACAGTTGTTTTAGTAAGAAAGTAGCCAATAGAAAAAATATGCATGCATTATATCAATATATTGAAAAATAATATCAAGGCTATATTAGGACGTGAAATATCATATATTTTGCCAAAATGTTATACAAAAATAACAACAACTGTCACAGAAAATACGTTAAATGTGGGTTGGATTGAAATTAACAAACCACTGTGGATATTTGTGACAGCTATGCAACTATATATTGCAATGAAAACACTATAGAAACAATGTGAACGTACGGTATCAGGCATAATGTAATGTGTAGGCCAAACCCTCGCTTCCTGTTGTACAATTTAAATGAAATAAATAACCTGCCTATAGTTTCCATGGGATCGCCACACTAACGTCTCCTGAAGCTGTTTAAAGCCGGTTTTGCACCAGGCGAATTTATTCGCGCGAATCGAAAGCGTCGGTTCATGCACATGCGCATTCACATTCCTATTAGAGTTTTTGCGAAGGGAAAAATTGTGCAACCAATCAGAGCTCTTGAAGCGAACCGACGCTTTGATTCGCGCGAATAAATTCGCCTAGTGGAAAACCAGCTTTAGGGGATGCTTAGTAGCAAATTCATGGAAATGTTCGGGCATGTTAAATTTTCTACACATTTTCCAATTGATCGAGAAACCTTCACAGTTATGTGAGGCACAGTACAGTATACCAGTTGCAATGGAACCATAACAGTCCTAGGTGAAGATATTTTATAGAAACTATGCTTAAATAATGAGATTACAGTATGTAAATAACGTACTATCAATTATCTATTTCATAATAGATATTGACGAGTGCCGTATAAATGACATCTGTGGGAATGGAGTATGCCAAGACCTCACAGGTTCATATCGCTGCTTCTGTTATGAAGGATACCATTTGGTCAATGGAAGATGTGAAGGTAAGGCGGTTTCTTAAGTAATGTAAGACTTAAAGGTAACCATATGAATTGCGAATGCGTCATGATTCCTTTCTGTAACACAATACATAGATTCTATCAGCCAACAAACCCTGCAATATAATATTTATCACTATTAGCTTCAAATGTTTAAAGTGTTTGTGTAAATTTTGCTCTTTTTTTTGGGTTAGGAGCTAATT